ATATTACTCATTTGAGACTCCCTGAAATGATAATTCATCCTTAATTAAAGAAACTTAAAATTGCCTTGAAGTTTCTTAGAAATGAGCTATATCTATTAAGCATTTAATCCTAGAGCCCCTTCTATTTATAGTACTTTGGCTTTTGGCCTGGTCTCCTATCCCTAACATGCAAATAGTTCTTTGATTCCTCACAACAGGTTATCTCCTAGCATACCAAAAGATTCAGATCCTCTCTCGATATGAATGTTTCTCAGTATGAAATGTTTGGAAAACAGTTTTTAGATACATTTTTAAAAAAAATTAGTGAAATGAGGGACCAGCAGATGGCATTATAGTTATTTAATACATGGAAGTCCATCCTAATTACATTGTTGGACTCCCGTGTAGTCAACCATGGTTCAAAGTCCTAGACCTGGCGGCCTGAAACACGCTGGGCACGTGTGTGTGCCCAAAACCCCGAGAGGAGAATGGAGGATAAGGGACTGCTGCGTGTCCATCCACCCTTGGGGGTGATTTCTTGCTTTTGTCTCTGTGGTGAGCACATACTCCCTATAGCAAAAAGCTCTCAAAAAAAAAAAAAAAAAAAGCTGTGAGACCACAATCTTCTACAGGTGGGAATTTAGCACCCCATTTGTTTTGTTTTTTTTTTTTTTTTTTTCTTTTTGATAGGCAGAGAAAGGAAGAAGAGGAAGACACTAGATATTGATAAGGGTTGGAGAATTCTAGTATATTTTTGTAAAGAATTAAAAGCATCAGTCTGTATTAATTTGGGAAATAAATCTTTACCGATTAAATTCATTTTCTTTTAAGTAATAAATATCCCTACATTTAAGTTCTTCTGTTAACATAAGTATGTAATTTATTTCAAAATTTTAAAAATTGCTGTTTTCATATTTGGGAAAGGAAGGAGTTTCATATAGAAGCTACACATTATCTTGTAAATGAATATGAAAACTATTAGCCCAGTACTATTAAAAAAAAAGGCAAGCTTGTTTTCCATTCTTGTGAAAAGAATTCCACCATCCCCTCTACATTTGGTTTTTAAAAAATAACATTCTCTTATCATCAAAATGAATAGTCACTATAAGAAAATGCTTGCAAACCTAGTTTTAAAAGGTTTGTCAGCGTCCAGTCTGTCACTTCTACACTGTAGAAGTTTTGGTGTTTACTTTCTAGTTTCTTGCTTTTTAATATTTAAGCATGTGGTTTCTCAGAATTAAAAGATCCAAAAATGAGGCTGGCAGGTGGTGTGGTGGTTAAGGGTGCTGGACTCCCACATAGTCGACCGTGGTTCAAGTCCTGGACCTGGCGGCTTGCTTTCTCACTTTCTCTCTCTCTGTCCCTCTCTGGTCAAATTAAAATCAAGTAAGTAAGTAAATAAATAAAATTAAATAAAATAATGCTTTTTAAAAAGCCTAAAATAGTATTTAATTAAATAAAATGTTTTTAAAATTACCAACCAATTCTAAGGAATTAACATCTTACATATAGATCTGGCAAAAATGTAAATCCAATAGTAGCTTCTGAAATGTACTTTTATAATATTTAAAACTCAAGATATCATTGTATTCATTTAGGTGTTTATCTAAAACATAACAATTTGAAGGGCCTTCAGAGTACCATAATCTTGAAACATTAGCTCAGTTACAATTATATCAGTTAAAATCCTGCAAAATAAAAGATTTTGTTCAGAGTCTTGTCTACTTTATAGCAAAACACGTAAGGTAATCACCCTGCTGAATCTGGAGCCTAGATTTTGACAGAAAGTTGTTTTCTGAAATACAATACTTATTAAATCACTAGATATAGGACTTTTGTACAGAGTTCATTTTTGCTTTCTTCAAAATGTATTAGATATAATTAGAATAATTTCCCAATAGGTCATCGAGAAACCTCCTATTCAACAGAAAGTACCTTATAAATCTAGCATACTTTGTGCTGAATGTCTGTTCTTGAACTCTAAATAGAAATGAAGAAAGGGGGATGGGTATATTATAGCTTTTGTTCATTGCAACTTCTCCTGGAAAAAATCATCACCACTCCCAGTTTGATTTGTTTCATTTAATTCTTGCCACATATACTTCTTAAGTCCTTCTGTGTTTTGTATTGAAGTAATCAGTGTTGAGGTTTTTCTGTTCATTTAGATTATTTAAGCTTTCTGATCTATGCTTAGTACTGAACTGTTTATTGGACCCATGCTGCTCAATAACTAAAGCATATGAAATTTACTACATTTTGTATTGATTTAATATTAATGTTAATCTAAAATCTTTGGGTGCAATGTGTCACATCTGTTTTGTATTCCTCTGTTTAAAAGAAGTGGCAGTGTGGTATTTGGAGGAATATTTATTATCTGAGTGTTTTTCTTTGCAACAGTTTTTCTCAACCTATTGAGAATTATAACCTCCAAGAGACAGTGAATCACACAGCAAATTCTCAGGTACCCAACCACTAAAGGCCACAGTAAATTAGAATCTTTATTTCCTCTTTAAGTTATCTTTGCTGAAATAGTTGTAACTTCAGAGGCTTCTGGAAATGAGAAAAAGTTGTGGTTAGATTTTTAAAAAATACTCTTTTCTCTTAAAAGTAGGTTCAGCCTTCATACCATGGATACTGTGATTTTCTTAGAAAAGACTTGGTTAAATTAAATGTTAATTTATGTTTGAAATTTAATTTTTAATAACTGGTAACTAAATGTTCTTATCCCTTGGTAGTGTTTCATAACCTTTTTGAGAGTCATGGATTTCTTTAAGTAATCAATGAAAACTGTAATCCCTCTTCCTAGGGGGAAAAAAAAGTACATGAACACAAACAGTTTGCATAGAGTTTTAATTAATCCTGCCTCTCCCTGCCCAGTAGTCAAAGGGCCCCAGGTTAGGAAATAGTTCTATAATGGAACTTAAAAATTACTTCTAGTATATTGACTTTAATATCATATTATTGTACTACACTGAGACTTTTCTTCATTTCAAGCTTTGTTTAACATTACATTTTCTCCTTGGTTGCTATAGTTTAGAAGATAAACATAACTTATTTTGTAGAAAAGCACAATTTTCTTTTAATTTTAAAGTTGTTCTCTGAATCTACAGAACATATTAATGTATATATGCTTTTGATTTGCCTTAGGTACTTGAAACAAAATTCTCTTTGCTTTTGATCAAAGATGAAGCCAGTGAAGAAAAATATGGGTTCTTATGGATCTGTTGTTTAAGAAAACAGTTCTTCTTAGAAAAGATGCTTGATGTTAAAATTTGGATTCTCATTTTAATGAGAGGTGGTGAAACTATTTAGTAGTTTACCTGGTTTTGCTAGTTAAGAACTCAGACTTGGGAATCAAGCAAATTAGTGTCCAATCAAACTCGATCACTTACCAGGTATATGACATTGGGTATCTTACTTGCTATAAAATAGAACTTACTTTATTAAATGAGATAATATCTATAAGGTACTTCATTTTGTGCTTTGCACATAATAAACACTCAGTTGCCTCTTGCTGTAACATAGTAATGGTGTTGATGAGAGACAGGATGAGCAGTCTTGCTTTTCAATTGTAGTGTTCATTTACTCTCTTACAAAATGTAGGATAGTAGATCTTGGTTGCAAAAAGGTAAGTCTTCATGTTGCCCAGAGTAATTTTTTCAAGTCTTGATTGTTTATAATTGTCATCCAAATTCAATCAAGAATACTTCAAAAACAGGGCATAGCAAACTAACTTTTCCACACCTTATTTCTCATTGTTGAGTTTTCACAGTGGGGCAACATGTTCAAATTATCCACCAACCTTGTCTTACATATTTGTAATAACTATTGAGATGAGACAGGAAAAGATTTCCAAGACTGAACTAAAATTTGAACACTAGCATGTTTGCTTTTGAATCTTGATACCTAGTTGGGTAGATGGCATAGAGCATAGTTGTGAACACTTAGATGATGCTTCCTTGCTTTTTATGTTATAAGAGGAGAACTTTGATTTTCAGATGTTTGATAAGCTATACAAATGTCAATGACCATACAAATGTCAGTATAAGAGTGTTCCCATTGTGTTTTTTAAAGTATTTGGAGTCTAAAAAAGAAAGGAAAAGGATAATTTGTCTGATATTTTGTAAATAAGTGAAATGAATGGGTTAATACCCAAAGTAAAAGGCTTCAAGTTTACTAAAGGCTAACTTCAGACTCTCCTGAAAAGAAATGGGATGACATCCTGACTAATCTTATTCACATTGTGATTGTTACTTATTACCAGGTAATAACAATTGTAGTGTTTATGGTATTTTTTTTAGAGGTTTTTGTCACAGGGCACCTGCGCTCACTTGAGAGACAGAGACAGTGAGAGGGAAAGTGAGAAATCAGCTCCCAAGAAGAGGTGGCCATGCTGTAATGCCTTCTCCCAGGATCTTGGTACATACAACACGTGCCTGGCATGATTTTCACCTTACTGGGTCCAAGGCTCAAACTACGATCAGCCATGTGGGAGTCCAGCTTCATCGCCACTACACCATCTGCGGGCGCATGGCGATATTTTTTGCGTGCCCACATATGCATATATTCACATATTTATCTGTATGCTTCTGAGATACTTTAGAATGATTAATTTAGATGGAAGCAATAAAGGGTGGTCAGTAACAGGTTATAAACTAAGAGAGGGAAACTGAGTATATGCTGAAAAATTTGAAGTTGGCATTATGGGAGAGTATTTATTGTGTTCATCTTGTGTTCATCTATAAACCATCTCTTGTTACCAGTCACAGAGAAAACAACTGAATCAATTCATCATGGAGTTAAGCCTGTATATTTCCTCTGTGAATAAACAAACATTGCTTACTCTATTTGTATTAATGAAACAGTAGATGCTATAGATTTCACTGGTATATGAAGAGAACATTTTACCTTGCCTTTTTTTTTTTTTTTTTTTTTTGTATAATGCCCATTTTTTGTTCCCTTATTTTCTTTGACTAAGCAGCCAATTTGGAAAACGATATTCTCCTTTTCTTTCTTCTCAGTATCGTCAGTGAAGCAGGAGCATCAATATACAGTGTCAGCCCTGAGGCTAACAAAGAGATGCCAGGGCTGGACCCTAATTTGAGAAGTGCAGGTAAGAAACTTGAAGTCTTCACTGAAGCATGTGATTTTGATATTTTGTACTAGCATGTGCTGCATACTAAATATTTTTAATCATTCAAGCAAATTTAGAAGATATAACACATGCGTAAGAAGTAGCATATTAGAAAGTGACTAGACTAGTAATTGGAATTTCAGAAAAGAAAATGAAGATTAATGCGCTAATTTAAAAGAATACTGCATAGAATTCTAGAGGACAATAAGAAATTAACCCAAGGGACCAGCAGATGGTGTAGCAATTACATTGCTGGACAGCGTTGACCACAGTTTGAGTCACAGACCTGGTGGCTTGAAAATCACACCAGGTACATGTGCATGTGTGCCCAAGTTTCCAGGAGGAGAATGGAGGAGAAGGGATTGTGGTGTGACCATCTCCCTGGGGAGTGATTTTTTTCTCTCACTGTCTGTCTGTCTCTCTAGCAAGTGCATGCGCCCTAAGGCAAGAGCCTTAAAAAGAAAAAAGAAAGAAAAAAAAAACAAAAAGACTACAGTAAAATAAAATACCAGAGACCCAGCCTCAGTGGCACATACTGTTAAATACTACTTCTTGGTAGGCTAAAGACACATGGGTGATCCAGAATGGATTCCTGGCCCACCCAAAAAAACTGTACAGGTACAGTGGTGCATACCTGTAGTCCAAGCTACTTGGAAGACTGAGGCAGGAGGATCATGACGTAGTGAGACCTTGTCTTTAAAATAAATGAATGAGGGGTGTGGTGGCACCTGCCCTATGGCAAAATGAATGAATGCCAGAGAGAGTTTAATGATAACAGAATAATCTGAGGTCTTTTATTACTATTACAAAATATCTTTGCAAAAAATAATATATTAGTATAAAAATATATGAACATACGCAAGCTTTCAGTTTATTGCTAAATATTTGTCAAATGACTACTCTCTTGTCAAGTGATAAAGATTATCATTTGTTAGTATATTGCTTAAAACAGCCTTTTTTCTTAGCCTTTGATAATAGTTCTATGTGATTGCTTTGATTTCTGTAATGTGGAATAATTAAAATTTTATATGTGAAGAAATAATACTCTGATACATCTAGCAAAAGCAGTATCACAGGCAAACTATAACTTCTGGTCAGAGCATTTTTCTGTGTAGATATTTAGACCACTTTGTAAATTGTGGACCATCTACTTATTTATTTTTCCTTAAATAGTCTCGTCAGATTTTATTGGCTGTTCATGAAATCTGTACCTGGAGATACATATTTTTTTTTTTCATTAATCTAAAGCTGAAAACTTCTTTCTTACAGCTGGAAGAGCTTATAGTTTCCCTTCAGTTGTCTATTTTATGACACTATCTCCTATCTAAAATGATTTCTCTCTTACTCATGGAGGAAAGAAACTTAAAACAATAATGCCAGAAGTTATGGTATTTGCTTATTTTCCCCTGCAATAAAAGCATTGTATGTAACAGGCATTTGAATTGAATACCTAAACTAGTAGGTAGGTGATCTTAAATTGTTTATTAGGAATTTCCGATTTTAAATAAGTGTTTGAGTATAACTTTTATTCTTTCACTCCCCTCCCAAATCTCATTAAAATGGTAGTAACATGATAGAATGAAGGCATAAACTCACTAGGACAAAAAGAATGGGAGAGGAGATAAGAGCAGCAAGTTCTGAAACTGGAAAGCATATAGTTGAGTACTAAGTGACCTATCTCATTTGAGAGTTGAATCTTAAGAGAGCATTATAGAAAACAGAGAACTAACCTGATAAGGATCATGGAAAACATTTAGGTTAAGGAAATGGTACCAGGTACCTTTGAAAGTATGTTGGAAGGGCTGAGGACAGGTCTTAAATAATAAGAATGTTTCAAAGTCTGTTTAAAAAGCAATGAGGAACCAGCAGTTAGCGTAATGGCTATGTCGCCTGACTCCAATGTAGTCGACCGTGGTTTGCGTCTCGGACACGGTGGCTTAAAACTCACGCTGGGCGTGTGTTTGTGCGTGCCCAAGATCCGGAGAGGAGAATGGAGGAGAAGGGATTGCAGCGTGACCATCCTCCCTGGGTGGTGATTTCTCACTTTCTGTCTCTATGTCTCTCTCTGTCTGTCTGGCGAGCGCACGCGCCCTATAGCAAAAACCTCTCCCAAAAAAAAGCAATGAGACCAAGTTAAACATAGAGTTACTATATGACCCAGCTAATAATTCCACTTGTGTAGGCATATTGCTCAGAAGAATTGAAAACAGCTACTCAAATACTCATACACAAATACAATAGTACTATTATCCACAACAGCCAAAAGTTGGAAACAACTCACATGTCCATTAGCAGATGGATGAATGAATAAACAAAATATGGTATATCCTATATGATGGAATATCATTCAGGCCATACAAAAGAATGAAGTACTGATATGTACTACAACAAAAATGTATGCTAAATAATGCAGTGGGGCATATATTGTATGAGTACATTTAAATAAAACGTGCTGATCAGGCAAATCTGGAGAGGCAGAAAGCTGATTGGTGGTTGTTGGGGACTGGGGAGAGACAGAAAGGAAGGGTGACTGCCTAAAAGATTTTAGGCTTTCTTTCTGGCATAATGAAAATATTCTGGAACTTAATAGAAGGATGTACAACATTGTAACTATACTAAATGGCACTGCTTTCTATACTTAAAAATGTTTAATTGTAAGTAATGTGAATTTCACTTCTGTAACATAATAACAATCATGCTTCCACACTGTTGAGTATGCTGGAGATTTAGTCTCTGAAAAGGTCTAATAATGGAAGATACAGTTGACAAATGAAAGTAGGGTTACTTAATGAAAAAGGAGGATATTAAGTAAATATTTACATGCTGTTGTAGAGACATTTGAGAATAAACCGTCCTTGCAGATTAGGGAGCTCTGGCCTACACATTAGACAACACCTAAGGAAACTGAGATCAGAGATTCCACAAAGACATGGTCAGAGCACACTATAGTAAAGCCCACAGTTGCCAAGTCTCACGTTTGAATATAGCACTTGCAGTCAGTTTTTTAATACCCTGCTCCTAGTGGACAGTGATAGGCACCTGTCATGTAAGGACAACGTACACTGTTAAAGACAGCTGTCAAAATACACCAGGCGGCCACCAGCTTCAGCTTCGCGGAGCCCTACACCCTGTAGGGGTCCCTGAAGGAGCTGGTTCTGCACTACCAGCACACCTCGCTGGTGCAGCACAACGACGCGCTCACGGTCACCCTGGCCCACCCCATGCGCACCCTGGCCCTGGCCTGCCACCTACCACCCTCTGAGTGCCCAGAACGTGGCATGGAGCAGAGCCATTCCTGGGCGGTCTACACTCGGAGCTATACCCCGAGTGGCGGGGCGGAGACACCCCAGCCACTTCCAAGGGCGACAGAATGGGGCCTCTGTCTTTCTGGCTCTCTCCCTCCCTCACTGAGTCGTTGTCTCTAAGTCTCTCTGTCTCTGTGTCGGGGTTCTGCCTCCCCTGCGCCCTCCTCCCTTTCCCCTGGCCAGCCCGAGACCCTCTATGGCCCTGTCCTCTGCAGACCCCACCCCAGGATCTCCCCACCCCCTGAAGTCCTCCCTGGCTGCATCTTGTCATGTTTACAGAGGCCCCTGGGTTGTGTGGCCTCAGTCTGGGCGCCCAGATTTTTAAGCCATAGACCTGGGGTCAGGGAAGGAAGGAACTTCCCTCAGCTTCTTCTGAGAATCTCCACTGGCCATGACACTCGGGGCCAGGCAGGACTGCCCCATGAACCCCAACTTCTCCCTTCCAAATCTTGAAGTGAAACTCACCTTTGGAGCAGCCTCACCGTGAAGCCCCGCCGCTGAGAAGTCCCCACTCCCCTACTCCCCCACCACACACAAAAGAAATAAAAATAATCTCATGAGCTGGGCCTAGCCTCCTCCCACTACCACACTCCCTCCCCCTGCCCACAGGAATAGAGGGTGCCAGGCCGGTGACACCGACATGCGACCTCACTGCCGAAAGACGGCACCAAACCTGATGCAGATTCAGGGCTTTTCCCAGATCATGCTGAGTTTCGATTTTATCCTGCCTCCACTGTAAAACCCTCTTTTCTCTCCTCTTTTGGGTAAGAGCCTGGTTTTCTAAGTGACCCTCCAACCCCACGCTGCTGGCCCACCTAGGCTGGGAGGCAGGTTTTGTATGGTACTATTGTTACTTATACCGATATAAAACAATGAACAATGAAAGAAAAAAAAAAACACATCAGTAGTGAGCAGTGGGGAGAAGCTACCTTGAAGAAATAGAGATGATGCAGACTGAAGAAAAATAAAGTTTAACATTATCAGAGAAGTAAAAATTATTTCATTTTTAGAGTATATATTATGTAAAGAAAAATTCACCTTTTCTAAGTATAACATTTATGAAGTTTGAAAACCTCAGTCACCACCATCACAGTTAATATTAGAATATTTTCAGACCAGCAGATGGCATAATCGTTATATTTCTGGACTCCCAGGTAGTTGATGGCAGTTCAAGTCCTGGACCTGGCAGTTTAAAACTCACTCCAGGTACATGTGTATGTGTGCCCAGTATCCCAAGAGAAGAATGGAGGAGAAGGGATTGCGGCGAGGCCATGCCCCTCGGGGGTGATTTCTTGCTTTCTGTCTCTATGTCTATGTGTGAGCACACACATACTATAGCAAAAATCTCTCTCAAAAAAAGAATATTTTTTCAGTTCAACAAACTTGTCAGCTTATTTTAAAATATTAGTATTATTAATTGGAGGATCAAGAGTATAATAAATTGTATCAAGACTATTAAAACCACATTTTAATTAACTTTATAGTGAAAAAAATTTAATTTGGAGTTGTTGAATGAGGAAGACATCATGAGGAAGTTTCACTTATTTTCCTGTTTCTGTTTAATAGCAAGGAGAAGAATAAAATGAGGGGAGTATTGGACTTTAAAAATAGAAATCTGTACTTGATATTCTTAGCTAACAGAATAAGACAAATATTAAAGAGAGCTGAAATTAG